TTTTTTTTTTTTTTTTGAGACAGAGTCTCACTTTGTCGCCCTCGGTAGAATGCCATAGTGTCACAGCTCACGGCAACCTCAAACTCTAGGGCTTAAGGGATTCTCTTGCCTCAGCCTCCCAAGTAGCTGGCATGACAGGCGCCTGCCACAGCATCCGGCTGTTTTTGTTGTTGTAGTTGTCATTGTTGTTTGGCAGGCCCAGGCTGGATTCGAACCCGCCAGCTCCAGTGTATGTGGCTGGCGCTCTAGTCGCTGAGCCCTGAGCTACAGGCGCCGACCTGTAAGTCCATTTTTGTACAAGGCAGTCTAGGATTGTTATGAGGGTTAAATAAGAAAAGCACTTGTAAAGAACTTTGCTCAGTCCCGGGGGAATGGTAACTTCTCCATAAACGTCATCTAACAGTCTCGGTCTCTGGACGTTTTCTTGCTGAACTCTGTGCTGTCTTCTTCTGGCCGGTCTGGAAGGTGCCCTGTGTGTCCTGACTCAGCGGCGTGTCTGCACCCCCTGCATTTCCCCTCTTCTTTTGTGTCTTGTCTCAATCAAATCGCACTGGAGGTCCAGCTCAAGTCCCTTCTCCTCTTAAGTGAAGGTTTCTCAAGAACCTTAGGCCACAGTCTCTGCCTTCTGCACCATCTTTTGCATTTATTTTACATTCCTCGTACAGGGTTTTGTGGTGTTGACTTTGTGTTTGTATATCTTGTCTCCCCAGTGGGAATGTAGTTTGTTACAGATACGAACTGGGTATTACACTGCTTTGTAGTCCACACCCTTCGTGCACCTTGGTTGATGAATGAACTAACAAATGAGCCGATGACTGAACCAGTCAGCAACAAGGCATTTTCCTGAGGAATTGGTGAAATATTTGTACGGCTGTCACCTTCTGTTTTTAGGTCATTAATGTGGATGATGATGGGAATGAGTTAGGTTCTGGCATAATGGAACTTACAGACACAGAGCTGATTTTATACACCCGCAAACGTGACTCGGTGAAGTGGCACTACCTCTGCCTGCGGCGCTACGGCTATGACTCCAACCTCTTTTCTTTTGAAAGTGGTCGCAGGTGTCAAACTGGACAAGGTAGGTCGAGCCTTTGTTGGTTTTTTTTTTCAAATATTATCGTACTTGGAATTTTGTTCTTTCAGTTAATCTGTATGTGCTATTTAAATTTGTGTTTTATTTTCCACTCGAAAGAAAAAAAATCCCTAAATAAGTGGATTGTTAAGAAAAGATACTGTGTAATAAACTTCGTATTCATTTATCAAGTGTTTATTAAGCATATTTTATACATCTGAAATTTGGCTTCTATTAACTTTTAAGCTTTTTGTTAAATGATCAGTCCTACTAAATTGACTAAGTATCTTTAATGCTGGAGAAAGAACCTAGACTTCAGAGCCAAACAGAACATGGGATGATTTCTGTTTTCTTGCTAACCACGACTTGAATGGCCTCGATGAGTTACACGACCTCTGCTGTATCTTCTCTATAAAAGGGGAGTGGTAATACCTATCTTACAGAATTATTGTAATTTAACCAGTTAATGATTGGAAACGCCTAGCAAGAGCTTGTTAAATGGTGAATGATCACATTGCAGTGAGCTGGGCTCCCTCTTCTGTTAGAGAGCAGACTGGAGTGAGTACGTGGACCTGATCTTGGTTTCTGTCTGCTTTGTTTTGGGCCACTTTCCCTTAGACAAATGAAAATTATTCTGTCCTTTTCTTTTGAATTTGTTTTGAAGCAAGGAAAATTATTAATTTATCAGACATTTATGTAACAAGTCTTTCTTGCTATTGGCGGATAGGATGTTTGCATTATAATTCTGTTCTTTGATAGGCGTTCCTGTAGTTTTTTTAAAGGCATGATAACCATTTTTCCCTTTTGGTTTATATTTGTAGGAATCTTTGCCTTTAAGTGTGCCCGTGCAGAAGAATTATTTAACATGCTGCAAGAAATTATGCAAAATAATAGTATAAATGTGGTGGAGGAGCCAGTTGTAGAAAGAAATAATCATCAGACAGAATTGGAAGTCCCCAGGACACCTCGAACACCTACAAGTCAGTGCCCAATTCCCTCTCACATTGGAATAATATTTATATTGCTTATAGATATTTAATTTATTACACACTAGAAATCACCATTAGTTTGCGGAAGTATAATAGTTGTCAATTTTTAAATAACTATTAGCTATAGTGATAAACATTTTAAGTATTTCTTAAATGAAAAATTAAATGTTTCCTGTTATCTATAAGGTGTGGGGTGTGCTGTTGGTGTTCTGATTTCTGCAGACTTGTTAGAAACACCTTCTTAAATTTTCTCAGTGCAGATGAGATTCTTAACTCATTTTTATTCTCTTTGCCCTACCCCCATATCTCTCACCTTTCTCCTTAAACAAATAAATGAAAATTCAGCTCCAGGGTTTGCTGCTCAGAACTTACCTAATGGATATCCCCGATATCCCTCGTTTGGAGATGCTTCTTCCCATCCTTCAAGCAGACACCCTTCCGTGGGGAGTGCTCGCCTGCCTTCAGTAGGAGAAGAATCTACACATCCTTTGCTTGTGGCAGAGGAACAAGTAAGCATGTGCTGCTGTAGAACAGCAGTGATGATTATGTAGAGCTAAAATGTCACTGTGCTCATACTCTCAACTGCCACTCTTTGTAAATTACTTTTTTTTTTTTTTTGAGACAGAGTCTTACTCTGTGCCCTGAGTTAAATGCTGTGGCATCATAGCTCACAGCAACCTCAAACTCTTGGGTTTCGGTGACCCCCTTGCCTCAGCCTCCCAAGTACCTGGGACTATAGGTGCCTGTCACAATGCCTGGCTAGTTTCTGTTTTTAGTACAAAGGAGGTCTTGCTTTTGCTCAGACTGGGTCTCAAATTCCTGACCTCATGCTGTCCACCTGCCTCAGTCTCCCAGAGTTCTGGGATTATAGATGTGAGCCACCACTCCCGGCCTTATTTATAAATTACTTTTGTAGTGACCAATCAAAGAAAACAGCATGCATTTACTCCATATGCTTAAATATATGCAAGTGTTCAGGGAAACTTAGCATTAGAGGAATTTATAGGTTCACAGAGAAGTGCAGCTATAGAATGAGAAAGACATGAGGTCAGCTTCTATATAAGAATCTTGAATGGATTAAGAATTTATGATGCTATAGTCTTTGTGATCAGTGAGCCACTACCAGGAGGGCAGGTTTTGCTGTGGATGTTGCTGCAGAGCTAATCAGTGTTCCTGACTCGTCTCGTTTTCATTTGTGGTGTAAAGCATCGGCTTGAACATTACCTGTGTGGTCATTAGTTGTATTTATCTTTGTAAACCATATGTTACTTATCATTAAGAGGTTTTTTGGATATAGAATCTTACTCTTTTACCCTGGCTAGAGTGCTGTTGCATCATTACAGCTCACTGCAACCTCAATCAAACTCCTGGGTCAAGTAATCCTCCTGCTGTAGCCTCCTGACCACCTGTGTCTACAGGCACCTGCCACAATTCTTGGCTGTTTTTTCTATTTATTTTATTTTATTTATTTATGTTTTTAAGTAGAAATGGGTTCTAGCTCTTGCTTCAAGCTGGTCTCAAACTCCTGAGCTCAAGAATCTACCTGTCCCAGCTTCCCAGAGTGTTAGGATTATAGGCTTATTTTTAAAATGAATTTCTTTACATAGTGAGCTATTATATTACTTAATTACCTTTTTCGGT